AGCCTATCTTCCTAAAAAATATTATCGCCAAGGTTATTTGCTATTCACTGGAACATTAATGCCTATTCATTTAATGCTAGCAAATTCAGCTATCCGTCCTTAATCACATAATGCGACTACAGGTGAATACAGCTCTTATTCAAAATATAATCTTAGTTTATAAGCATATTCCAAAAAATATGACTTGGTTTTTATTCATACTCGCATAGAAATTAGCATTAAATAGCTTATCAAGGAAAGTTCCACAACCCGCCCAACTTGTCCTCCTCATTCGATGAGACCGGATTCTCCATGGATTACACAAGACAATAAAGGAGTTAAAATAATTGTTTTCTCAAAGTGACTTTATTATGCTCCACGATGCTTTCTCATGTTAGAGACGATGCCGAAACTTTAATAGAATCAGGAAAAGCATACACTTTGGAGGGCCAAAGTTGAACGAGGGTCAATGATATACCAAGGCCAACACATTGAAAATTCAAATGATATTACATGACTTTCCATTTTAAAGGAAAACTTGGCCTCATGGGAAACAGAAAATTGATCGCTGTGGAGTGAAGAATGTTGGATTGCGTGAAAAAGCCCTCGGCTTATCATCCCGTGACTTCGATGAACCTGTCCTAAGCTTATTTCTGTCTCGTCGAACAGACATCATCAGATCAAGAATCCATATCTTATGAAATAGCACGAAGACTACGGCAGAACCAAGAGAAACGCTGGCTTGCTTCAGCCCAATCACTTCATGATAAACAACTTTTTGTGATCTTATTGAGGCATCGCTTGAAAGGGTCGACAACCAAAAACTTACTCGACATGCTTTCCGATGAGTGAAGCTTATTTAGTTATCGTAGGTGGATTATATTCATGTGTCAACTTCACTAATCAGCAAACATGTCAACCAAGTTTGAGGCTGTGAAACCAAATGATGGGATCCCTTGATGAGACTGCAAGGAAAGGTGCATAGAATTAATAAGCTTGCAGCCGGTCAACTTATTTTTTGATTTTGTATATTTTTGGCTCTATTTCGTAGAGCCTAAATTCTTGCTCTGATGATGATACAATTAAAAGATTATCACAGGTTCATCGGAGTCGTAGGACGGTGAACCGAGGCGGTCTTGGCAATCCTCCTTCACTTTTGGTTGAGACCATTTCACGAATTCCTTCCAACCAATTTTCTCTTCAAAATGGAAAGTCATGTCACAATAAAACTTTAATGAATCTTTAAAAAAAACCCAGTTCATTTCATGTCTACAAATACAATATCATCACCGAATGCGACTTCAAGTGGCCAGAACACTTATTCAAGAGTTTTTGACAATCTTGCATAGAAACACTTATTGTCACAAAGACATGATGTCTCTATGAGAAGGCATTCAGAACAAAGAAGCTACATGGAATTGCCTAGATTGGTAGAATTTTTCATGTTAGTATAATACAAAAATGTGAGAACTTCACAAAATTCTAGACACCTTTTATGCTGCTTAGTATGATTTATTAACTGATAGCGGAGTTTTCAGACAATTATTAGACAATGCCATTAAACTTCCCTCCAAAAGGTTTGCTCCTCTAGACCGGACCGTAGGTTTAGCAGTTTTTCAGCTTAACCGCCAAAGCGATTCGAAATTGGGTCTTGCAGGTAAAGTGACAACACGTCACCACTTCACTGCACAACTTGAGGGTGAAAGAGGAAAAGTGACTTTTAAGGCAAGTCAGGCCTTTTGCTAATCCTATTTTATTTTAGAAGTGTAGATTGGATACAAGTTTGCTTGTCAAAAAAATCAAAAACTTTCCTCATTTTCGATGGAAGTCTGCTTAATAAGTATCATTAGTTAAGTATCGTTACGATGCACATGACGTGGTTTCACATCTCGACAGAAAAGCAGATGGAACCCAGGCGAAGCAAAATTGCAGCCCAGTTTGGATAAGAAGACCCTTCAGGGAAAAGATCAAATTGAACTTTACTGGCATCGTGAAGCTTACTCCTTTTAGCTCATAAGTTGAATTCTGATGCCTTATTTTCCTACAATCAGTTATCTTAAGGTTACAACAAAAATCATTTTTGCGTATTTTTTGCTTGAAACAATTATTATTTTGAATTTTTAAAGCGGTTTTTAGATTTTTTTGTCCTATAACCTTCCGATTGCGATCATGGTATCACAATTTTGGTGATGTTCGATGAGTTTATGACTAGCTCAGGGTAAAGAATGGCTATTTTTTTGAAATATTGTTGAGTATTATTCTCATAGCTTTCGCAGACTGAATAAAGGATGCTTTGGTATGGCTGTCTCCAATATATAAAGAATTACTTTATTGGTTCATTTGCTCTATTGGTGTTATCATTTTTTGACTTATTTTACTATGTGTGTCACCCTTTATTAACCATGAAATTGGTTTAAGGAATAAAACAATTCGAGCTGTTTTATAATTGGATTGATTTCCCATTATTTTAATTTCTTCTAAGTAGTAATGCAATTTTAATAAAGCCTGTTTTCTATAGTGCCTGTCTAATGGTAATAAAATGTTTTCGCTTTTATTATTGTTTTTAGCATATTTAATCGTGAATAAATATTAATTTTTTAAAAATTTCTTTCGGTTTATTTCTTTAATTTTAATTCACAATTCGTATATATTATATGATTTATGATAAATATAAAATGAATTGTAATTATATTTAAATGGATACTATGCTTTGCTGAAGTTTTTAAGAGGATAGAAAGACATGAGTTAAAGTGCAATATTCTTCGTGTCATTGTGACATTGAGGTTTTCTATTTAACTACTTTGTTTGAATAATGAGCATTAATTCTTTGGTATGTGCATTGTTTGAAATGGTAATTAGACCTGAATTTTTACCCCTAATGTTAGTACCATATCATACATTTATATCTGTCCTATTTTTTTGTTTCTCTAGCATAATTACATTATTGGTTCATTTGCTTTATTAGTGTTATCATTTTTTGACTTATTTTCTTATGCTTGTTACCATTTATTAACAATGAAATTTGTTCGAGGAATAAAACAATTCGAGATGTTTTATAATTGGATTGATTTCTTATTATTTTAATTTCTTTTAAGTAGTAATGCAATTTTAGTAGAGCCTGTTTTCTATAGTGCCTGTCTAATGGTAATAAAATATTTTCACTTTTATTATTGTTTTTGGTCAATTTAATAGTTTTAAAGGTACAAAAATCGTGAGTTTAGATTAATTTTTAAAAAATTTTGTTTAGTTTATTTTTTTCATTTTAATTCACAATCCGTAGATATTATATGATTTATGATAATTATAAAATAAATTGTAATTATATTTAAATAGATACTATGCTTTGCTGAAGTTTGTAAGAGGATAGAAAGACATGAGTTAAAGTGCAATATTCTTCGTGTCATTATGACATTGAGGTTTTCTATTTAACTACTTTGTTTGAATAATGGGCATTAATTTTTTGGTATGTGCATTGTTTAAATTAATAATAAGACCTGTATTATTACCCCTAATGCTAGTACTATATCATACATTGCCATCTGTCTTATTTTTTATTTCTCTAACATAATTGCTTCTCTTTACTGTATTCTTTAAGTTACGTGGTTATCAATTGTTTTGGCTCCCTTATAAAATGACCGGTTTACCATATATTTGGTACTCATCTACCCCAAAACCTAAAAAGGTACGCGGCAATGAATAGGGCTGAAGACAAAACGCTTCCACGTACTTGAATTGACTTGTTGAGACCCGTCAACACAACATGATAGAGTTGCGAGAATCGAAGACGTGCCGCTCTGAGGGCGGAGTCAAAAGCACCCCATTGCATATGGAATTCTGACTCTGCCGACTTCCAGTCGAAGTTTTGTCCATCTTTGTTGGTTATCGTCTTGATGCTCTCGTCTCTGTCACCACGGGGAGAGATTGGTCTGCTGTCACCCATGCTCGCCTGTATCGTTTCCTGTGAAGGGTCCGTCATAGAATGGAGCGCCTCAAAGTACGGATACAGCGAGCAGCAGACGTGCAAAAGCTGATGTCGAAAGGGTTGAAAACCGAAAAAGCAAATAAACTAGGCTCCAAGAAGAGGGTGTGATTATTATAATATCATTAAATGAGATTTTGGAGAGCAACATCGAAGACTATACATAATGTGGATTGTAATCTGGCAATGTTTATTAAGATTGGAAAGACTTGGTATTTCGTTTGGTAGAGGTCCCGCATCCAATTTTCCACCTTATTTGGCCAAATTAACTGGGGTACCACAGTGATGAATCCTTTGATGGTATCCTGTACTGCATCGTCTGCCCTTCGTCATCGTGGTATCCTCAACCAGAAGGGACAACACCTCGGATCGCTTTTCAATGAGGAATCATCTTGCCTCAAGAAAGATCTTGCCATAAATTTCATGAAAACAATTAAGTATTCTTTTGTCCACCAGTCATTTAGGTAATAAAGCTGCAAACAAATGATATATTCTCTTCCCCTCCAAGTTATTAGGAAAGTTGATAGATACTTAAAAATAGGATGTTCGCAGCGAATTGACAAACCGTGTCGAAATATCGTATTGCTGACTGGCAACTTTGATGTCCCCAAGTTAAGCAAAGAAGAAGTAATCAAGCAATAAACAAAGCAATATAAAATGGTATGAAAATTTGCAGAGGCGGAAACTCACGTCGAATAATGTCTGAATTTCAATTTTAAATTCACTTAGTTCGACTAATTTTTCAACAGCCCTTGATATACTACTCGCAAGTAAGCAAAATTGGTCGCATTCACTGCTTGAGATATCTAGATTCTGAGGTTTGGAGAAAAGAATAAAGAATAAAGGTAGTAAAATTAAATATATAGATAAATATTCTGATAAAATTCGAATATATAGTACAACTTATATGCAAGATAATATGATAGCGTGTGGTTTACTATGTTAATATGATAATTTATAAAAGTGATAAGTGATGAGTTAAGGAATAATTTGAGGAAAAAATTGATGAGGTTATAACTATTTGTACCCAACTCCTAGTGTTAAGGCTGGGAAAAATCAGTAGTCAATCGAGCCATAAGGCATCATATTATCGTCTTGTCCGTTTGTCAGGGTTTATTAGAATTTATGATAAATTGAAGAATAATTTTGAGAAATCTGAATCAAGAATGTTAATTGAGAATGTCTTATTTATTCTTTCAAATGCGCCAATGAGGCGTGCAAGGGGCAGTAATTCCATTTGCATGAATAAGCCCAGTTTTGAGTGCTTGTTGCACAGAATTTTAATCCAATATCAGGCCTCAAATTCACTTCAGTTTAGAACCAAATGAAAAAGTTGTGGGATCATAATGAAGCCATATTTTCATTTCCAGCAAATGCCTTAATTGTAATTTACTCATCTAACCTCAAAAGTGTTCTATCACCTAAGGTTCAATGACACTAAACGTCCTTGGCCAATTGGGCAACGTAATTAACTATTTAAATACATGTTTTAACGTTATTTCTGGTTTGGAATAATGCGACTAAAAAGAAAGTCCATCTTAAAAAATCGGTACTTCGAGTAGAATGGTTCCGAGAATATGCTCGCCAGTTTTACAAACATAAAGTCAGAAGAGCCAAGAGACAAAGACTATCTTTCATTATGAGCGCATGCTCTTTGAACAATGTTTTCCACGACCTATGCCGGGCTACAATTCGAGACATTATACTTTTTAATATTTTTCGTTATTTATTGGTAAAGCTTCTCTCATTAACTCTTGGCGTAGATGCCTGTAGAATTTCGAAAGATTGCGGTGACCCTTCCAATTCGATCTCATCTATGATGCAAGGAACATCGAAATCGACGATTTTTCCTCAACCCCTTCCAGCCTCGTACTTGGCTTTTCTTGGACTGACAGCAAAGTTGTACAGGACAACAAGACGAGGCAGCAGAACTTTTGCATAGCAATTGCCTGCCTCCAAACACTTACCAAAA